TCGTCGCCGAAAAACAGTTGGAGTGACCGTGGGTCATTCAGTTTGTCATGATTAGCCGGGATTTACTTGAAATGAGAAAGTGAAAACTAGTAGGCTTGTTTTCCCCTTTTAGGTGTTTGAAGGCAATAAAGACAGTAACAGCGTTTCTACAAACAGATTAAGCCAGCCGATCAGAGCACGCTACATTCGCTTTATACCAATAGAGTGGCATAATCACATATCAATGAGAGTAGAGATCTACGGCTGCCCAGGTGTGATACACTTCCAAATAATTTTCTCAGAGTTGTATGTAAGCTACAATGCTGTGTGAGCGGTAATGATTAACTTGAATTGGCACGTTGAAAATAACCGTGGTTAGCACCCTATGGAGCGCTTATTTGCTGGTTTACCCGCGGAAAAGAAATAATCCTTTGTAATTTACCTGGCATTAAACTTACTTCAGTCAAATTTTCACGCCAAGTTAGCCTTACGTTTACCATAGGAGTAACCATGACGGCGACGGTTGCTAAAACGTCACTAATATGAAGTGATTTCGTACTAACTGTTTCAATCCTCCATCACGTTCAAGTTATCAAATGTTGGCAAATTTTCTGGGGTTAAATCAGTTCTAAAACAGCTCTATGCAAGTTCAGAGAAAAAAAATTCGTCGTCTTGCCTAAACGTCCTCCACAAAAACAAGAAATTAGGCAGTTCCACTTCGTAGTTGTGCCGACGGCAAAGAAATGTAGAAAAAAGCGTGATGCATGTGCAAAGTTGCTGTTTTGCTTATATTAAACATATAAACTTATTGCTTTTTCGCTGTTCTGGCTGCCCACGCCGTCGTCGCCGTCGTCGTCGCTTAAGCTCCCTATTACTATGGTTAAGTTGTCTTGTACAACTGCAGCTAATAGTTCTTCTATGATTGTTTATGTCCAAATGGATATAGAGGATATTACACGGTGGCGCGAAGATATGAATTTTATTTTCGAGTGGCAAAGCAATATTTTACGAACGAGCGCAGGGAGTGAGTAAAATAGTTTTTGCCACGAGAAAATAAAATTCATATCTTCAAGCCGCCGTGTAATGTTCTTTTTATTCTACAGACAAAAAGACATCGATAAAATAGTAGAGGGAAATGACCGAAATTACGTCATCGATAAACTCACGTGTGAGATTATGGAAAATAAACCACTCAGGTCCCGGATGTAGTTTTTATGAATTGTATGAGTGGTATATTTTCCAGTAAAACACTCTTGTCTGTATCATAAAAATGGATAAAGAACGGATTGGATGACAAATTGAACTTTTTAATACATTTTTCATTAAATTTTCCACTTCCAGACAGAACAAAGAAACACCATATGGATTTTTGGTATGACCGTTCAAAATACGACTTGATGTGTTTTAGTTTCACGTGGTCACATTCATTAAAAGTGTTTTACGTAACGCAATTATGGAGAGTTTTCCTTGGGCTATGACTTTATATTCTTTTGGGCTATATCAGATTCGATCCCTTCAAACATACCGGCCCAAAAGATGAAGTTTTATTATAAACTGTATTATTGCACCATACAGGTTGTAT